GGGAAAGAAGGAAATTTCCTTCAGCTTGATAAAAGGTAAAAAAGAAAAAACAAAACCAAAAGCAACCCCCCACCCCCCAAAAAATCCTATAGTAAACATGGGGAAATGCAGAAAACAAGCCCTTTTAAGATTCAGAACCAAAAAAAATCACCCCAGACTCGAACCATTAGAAGTACATTATTCAGTCCATCAAAGAAGGTTCCATTAAGCATCTATGAAACTCAGTTTTGGATCCTAAAGTGAATTTGCGCTGCCACACATAACACGCTGTTAACAGGAGTGCATGGAGAGGCATGCGTCAGCCAGACTACAAGTGTGACTCACTGTCAAGTTCTTCCCTCTCTAAAAACTATGAAATATGAAGGACAAAAATGAACAGCAATTTATTAGGGATGGACTTTAAGAGAGGAAGTGGAAGCAAGAGAAAAACTTGCATGTATTACATCTCTTAATCTAGTATCTTTAGGGAATAGTTTTCTATTACATCACAATTCTAGAAAACGTAGGCTCATCCTTTAAGCTCTGAAGTTTCGATCATAACCACTGAGGGAAACTTCTCAACCAGGCCATTCACTCCTTTAGATTGTGTGGCACACAACAGACCCTTTCTTGATGACTCTGGGGACTCGGTTCTGACTATCGATTTCAGTGTGATAGCCTATTGTGATACTGATGCCCTTAGGAAGCATCAAGAAGCAGAGGATTTTTCCACCATCAGGGCTATCTCCTTAAATTTTGTCTTTTCTTGAGTTTTTGCTTCTTGATGTCACGTAAGTGCGACAGCAGTGTATTCCAAAATTCTTAGATGATGCTTTTCTTAGTGGAGCCTCTTCAGTTGAATTGTGGGGACTCAACTTGAGATGGAATGACAAATGGAATAGTAAAGATGAAAACATATCTGGCCAGGACTATGGGCATAACATAGGAATATTTTCTGAGTTCCTCCACCCAGCACATGTAAACATCGTAAACAGCACAGTGAAAACTCCTGTGAGAGTGGAAAAGCTGCATGAGAAGCACTTCTCCTCTTCAAGGAGCAGCTGCTCTTTAAGGATAAATGGAACATGTCTGAACATGCCAAATTACATGTTTGTTTTTTTTTTCTTCCTCCTTGAGGGGAGGAAATAACGAACATAAATCACGGCTTTCAAACACAGTATTTATCTTCTAAAAACGAATTTTGAGTTGTAAAGAATTATATACTAAGATTATACAAAACATTAAGAATGTACTCTTGACTGGATTATATTTTACTTGTTTAAAGTATAATCTTAGCAAACAATCGCTATCAATAAACATTGAAGACAAGATACTGAGCTAAATGTGGTCTAAAGAAAGGGGTCTAAGTCACGATTTTTAAACCTGTAAGAGTGTGCTCTATTCAACTGAAGAAATAAGGCACTCTGAGCAAAACAGAAAATATAGGTGTTACAATGTGGGCTTAGATAAGTGATGTGGGAATTAAGTAGGATTTTGTAGTTTAAGAGATGGATAAAGTTCTGGTAGTTTAGGAGATAAAGAGATGGATAAAATTCAAGGTCGAAATGGATTTCTCAAGGTCCCTTACTCAGCTTTCAGTAGATTGTTAGCAACCTCCCTCCTGCAAGCATAACCAAAATGGTGTACTTATATGTTAATGTTTTGGCTTCTAAATGTAGGACCCTGTATTTGGCTATGTGTCCTTCAGGAAGTCCTTTAGATGCTCTGAGGTCTGATTTTTTTCCCTTATCTGTAAAATGGGTTTTTTTGTTTTTTTTTTTAACTCTGCCTTGGTTACAGAGCTGTTAAAAAAAAAAAGCTCAAATAAGACTATATTTCCTTCTATCCTGCAAAATATCACATTTTTGTTTTGGGGTTAGTTTTGAAGCAATATTCCCTCTAATTTAAATTAAAAGTCAGCAAAGAACAAGCTACAGTTACAAACTAATCTGCCCCACTTTCAGGCAGGCATAAGTTATTGAATATGTAATTATTAAGCTTGTAATCATACATGACTACAACTCCTATTACTTTTACAAAATCAGACTAGGGATTTTAGTTTGTCTCATTTTCTGCACGCTATCCAGTATCTACAAGCAAAATCAACTGTCATATTTTTGATGTATTCTGCATCACACAGATAACAAATCTCATTAATAACAGACATGGGCAATAAGAACAAAATTCAGAGTATTGGGTACTTGCTGCTTAAAAAGAAAAAAAGATGGGTTGGAGTAGGCGTCGGGGTAGAAGAGAGGGTGGCACCATGATGTCCCAAAGTGTGACAATAATATGTCCAGGTCCTGCCCCAGAACCACAACTCCATCTCTGGGGTAGAGCAAAAAATCTGCATTATTAATAGCCCCCCATGGGGACTCCTGTACCCTCAGCTTGGAGACTATAGTGGTCTGGGGTAGAAGCCTAAGCACCCAGTCTTGCTTATATTTTACCTCTCCAGGTGCCTGCCCTTCACCCCAGTTCTCTCAAGGATCTCTATCACTCCCATGTGTGTGACGTCTTTTTATTTCAGACCCACCATTCCTAAAGGCAGAGGGTAAGGTGAAGTGAGTGCAAGGTGGACAAGCAGATTTCAGGGAGGAATCACCCCCCAAAAGAAATACCTACTTTCTGGCTCCTGCCTTTGGACACCTGAGGACAGACACTCAAATCTCAGGGATCAAATGTCCTCCTTTTGGGAGGAGGCAAACCTACTTCATCACTGAGACTAAGGCTCCCTGCCTGCCAGGGCTGCAAGGGGATGAATAACCACAGCAGAACTAGGGGATTTCTCCCCCAGTTTAGTTAGCCATTGACACCATCTATTTACACAGGCCCCGGGATAAGAAACAGAGATTGGGAGGAAACAGGAATAAAACAGACTGAACACGAAGTAATTTTCCTTTCTACATGGTGTAATAAATATAAAGTTTGCTAATTATTTCAAATACCAAACATATACCCCACCCCAACCCTCCTCTTCAATTAATAATCCCTGCAGAAAATCAGAAAAATACTGTTTAAAAACATAAAACCAGGAAAAGTTATTGAAATAAAAATGGCATCCAGGCTCGAGTTCACAAGCTTGCAGGCCTAAGGGTGATTCTGCCCACAGAGAGGTTTTGTTTAGTCTGCAAAGTGTTACTGCTGTTTTAAATTTGAATTAGTTGCCAGCTTAAAACAAAACAAAACAAAACAAAAAAACCTCAAACAACCCTGGAATTTCTACATAAAAATCCAGATTTCCAAATTTTGAAAAACTATAAGACTATTAATACAAGGCAAGAACTAGCAAAAGCTTCGTGGTAGCTGCCTCCTTCAGATGAGCTCCCTGTGGAAACCAAGGCCCACCACTGAGCCAGCCCCCAGTCAACACACTCCCCTCAGGCCCCGTATGGTGTTTGTGGCCCCCTGGCTTCAGCAGGTGAATAAACACTAACCAAACAAGTTATATAGTTCTTTATGGTGACTTTCACAGCAAAGGAATTGGTTGGACCAGGCCAGGGGAAGAAACACTCATACATCCTTCCTCTCCTGTCCTCCTCCCCCACACCCCACCTATGCAGAGCAAGAAAGACAGAAAGGACAAACAATGGTCACCACCTGGCAGCCCTTGGTAACCACAGACAACTACCCGCTATGTTATCTCCTCATCCCAGAGGGACTTTAAATAAAAAAAAGACAGGTCTGCAGAATATCCTGTATAAAGGAAGGTGACAAAGTTCTAGAATACTGCAGATAATGGACTTTGAAGTCTGGGACCTAAGAGGTTAAGTTTGGTGTTTGCAGAGTAGATTCCTTTTACATCTTAGTTTTTCTGAGAATGAATGACTTCAGACAAGTTATTCCTGATGCCTCAATTTCCTTCTTAAGAATGTAGAACTACCTGGAGTGAAGTCAAGATCTCTATCTCAAAACTGAAAAATTATAAATAAGGTCCTTGGGTAGTCCCCTACTGTAAAAATGTGTTAAAAATCAAATGAGTAATAATACCTCCTATAACTCAGCAATCTTCCCTAATATGTAAGTAAAATGGTAATAAAATATTTATGGGTAGCATAAACCAAAGCGCAATTCTAGCAGGCAGCATCCAATGAGGAGCCATGGTCATTGGACTGTGCACCCTGAGCAGGCCCCTCTTCCTCTGCCTCTGCAATGGAGAGAGTACCAGCTACCTCTCCCCTACCTACTTCACAAGGATGTTGTAAGGTCTATAACCCATGTGCAGTACCTCAGGTACAGGGTGATATATAAACAGGTCCTATTCATATTATTAGTAGTCTAACATCACAAGATGCCTCAATGGAATGAGATCTTTATAGGTACCTGGTAAATATGACTAACTGCTTCCCCGCTCCCTGGGAGGTAAAGGGGAGGGGGGAGGAGGCAGTAAAGGAAGCCCAGGTATGCACCCACCTCTGTTCTGATGGATACTGGTTTTCAGGCATCATCTTTGGCATCTGCAGGGGCTGATGTGGCGGCCGGGGGACCGCAAAGGTTTGCTGCTGTGGTCCAGGTTCTGGAAGTGAATGAGGGCTGGGGGTGGGGCCCACACCTGGTACTGGGCCAGCTGCAGGGGCATGTGCCGAGGTGGGCAGAGTTGCCTGAGGTGGGGGAAATAAGGAATTCTGATGGGTAGGTGACAGGGGGGTGGTAGGAGGGGTTAATGGCTTGAACCCAGAGGGAGGCTTCCTATCATAGGCACTGTAAACAGAAAAAGAGAAGGAACCATTTAGCTGCAATGAAGCCATTAGCATGGTCACCAGGTCCAGCGTGCAGCCCACAGTTGCCAGGAAATGACAGCATTAACATAGTTAAATTGCTGGCAGCCCGAGGGAATATTTGTACCTCTGAAAAGTGACAAACACACTGCGTCACCGGGACTTGTTTAACACTTCTAGCGATTCTTCTTAAAGATAATTTTAGCCTCTGCTTCCGGTTTCCTTTTTCCCCTTTTCTAAAAGAATTCTCCATGTATGCGTGGGCAGGGGTGGATAGATGAGGGGAGAAAGTATGCCTTGGGAGGAGTTTTCTGGCCCCCCCTCCAAGGATTCCAGGGTTCCCAGGAATTAGAATCTTTATTGAGGATAAATTTCTGCTGTAACATCACTTGACAACTCTTCTCCTCCCCCTTTCAGGCAGGCCTGTGTTTATCTTCCAGAGCAAAGAATGATTTAAAATTAAAGCTTCATTCCTGGGGCCTGGATATTCTTAAGTAAAGGGCACAAGCATGGGGACTTTTTCATATATTCTGATTTGAAGATTACTTCTTTGGTGCTTAAAGTTCACATTAACATATGATAGACATGAAGAAGCATATATTCCCTCCCTCGAAGCCACAGATCAAATATCCCAGCATTCAAGGTTCTTTCCCGTAGGAGGGCTCAGTACCCCATGAACTCAGTCCCCCCCCCCC